AGTTTTCTCGAAACGTATCTGTTATGTTTTCTATATTTTCGTGTATAACGTGAGGAATATATAAATAAGCTTCGGACACAATAATGTTTGGTCTTAGTGTACATACGTAGATATTTAATTAAAAATACTAGAGACGTGTTTTACGCGAAATAAACTTAATGTAAATAAAATTATATTTAAATTGGTTAAGTAAATAAGTTAAATTTTATTATATTGACTAAATCTTCAAACCCGTTTCTGTCATTAATTTTTATATTTGTCCTTTTCTAGCGGCGTTTATCCTTATGCTCGTATAGCGTAATATTAGGCTCCAATTTTATATAAGCCCGATAATATTTGTTATTGTCCACGGATTCTAAAATCTGAGACATTAAAACTAGTAAAGCGTAAAAATAACAAATGAACTTCATAAAGGACAAATTTTGACCTGTTTAAAAAAGTTTAATTTTATTAATCCATTGGATAAAATATAAATCATGTTTTAAATGGGTTGAGACAACACAAAGTTTACAAGTTGGTTTGGGGTCAAAATCGGATTTGGGCACTAATTATGGTCGATATTCACTATTAATAACGAATCCTGAGGGTCACGTCAATCGGGAGTACTACAACCGAGAATGGTAAGATTGTTTAAACGAAGTTTTGTTCACTTCTTTGTCATATTTAGACATGTGTTTTGCGATCTTATTGTCCATATGTAATGGATCAAACTTGATAAGCTTATTCCGGGGATAATCTGGAGCATTAGTAGTCTATCGTCTGACAGTAAGGTATTATTGCCCTTGTAAATACTTGTAGGTAAGTTTTCGTTTTCATGGAATGGCAACCATGCGGTGTTAAGGTCCTCCAGGAAAGATGTAGGTTGATTGTTTGCTGTATTATTTTGGGAAGAAATATGGTTGGGTGAATTATTGTGTTCCGTATCGGACATATTTAGAAGGTGGAATTTTCCGTGCAGAGAAAAAAACTGCCTGTTGGATCCGATAGAATAGGATAGATAGAACACAATATAATAGCTCAATAATGATGTAATTTCAGGATACATTGACAAACCCTTACGAATCAGCAGGCGATCTTGCAAACTAGTGAAAAGAACCTGATAAGTTTTATGGTATGTTTGACATTACGCAACGCTGTATAGTTCTTT